AGGGGGAGGAGAGGGGGGGGGGAGGGAGGTTTCGATTTTCAAACGACGACGGTGTGGCGGCGGCCGTCGTCGCCGAGAGTGCGACAGGCGTACTTTAATTAACTCGGTGGACGTTAATTTCGCTTAACTCTCGCCGGAACACGCCGGACTTCGTTTAAGGCACATAGCCGTCGCTATTGATACGCGCATATCCGCGGCCGGCACTTCACGGGGCTCTCTGCGTGTCGGTGTGTGCGGCGCGCCCGCGGCCGCAAAACACGAAGGCGGTGCCCGTCGCGCCGCGCATAGAACGGCGCGGCATCAATTGTTGGAAATGCGGGACACTATCGCGACGAGGCATCGTGATTATTCCTTGACAGCCACTGTGCCGCGCACACACGGCCCCCCCGTGTATGTTTCAAGCTTCGTGTGAACGTACGTACGCGTATACATACGTCACGTCATCACCGCCTGCCTAGCTACCAGCCTGCCTGGCTGGTTGGCTGGTCGAGGGAGAAGGCCCTTCGAAAGTGACGGCAAGAAAATCGTGTAGGTATCTTTTTCATCGATACACAAGATGCCAAACGTGACGTGATTTTACGCAAAGTCTTTCCGATTTCTCTGTTTTATGAAATTCTAGCCAAAGATTTTGGGTACAAATTAATTCGTTGAAATTCGCTTAATCCGTTTGTTCGAATATATGTTCTTTCCTTAAGAATATGTTACTCGTATTTTTTAACAAAATGGAAATAATTATAGATTTTTCTGTACAAGAAAGATGATTTTGCTGAAGTATAATTATATAGAGCTGAATAATTTTGTTGGAGCATTAAAATAATTACGTAGGACTCAAACTGATTGGTACAATGTCAAAACTTTTTGCAATATTACTCCATGTTTGATATTCTCGCGTAATTATTTTAAAAGATTATTTCAAAAATTAATAAAAAGTAGATATACATTTTAAAAATAATTAAGATAAAATGAGAAAATCTTCATTTAAACTAAAATTGTATTGTTAAATATAAATATTGACTTTATTAAGCTACTTGTACATTTACTTTATTTTTGTACGGAAAGTATAAATTTCCAATTCCAGTCTAATTTTTTGCAGAGATACTACACACCTGATACGTCCTTAATTCGTATTCATTTATCTATTTTTGAAAAAAGTCCGTTTATTTTAACACTCTCTGAATGTTTCTTTAAGTATTATGTATTTATGCGATGTGAATTAATCGTTTGCGTATATATCAAATTTTTACTTTTTTTTTTCTGTGAATTGCGACCGAAAGAAATATTCCAAAAATTATTTACGATATGTTTAACGATAATCCAGCACATGTTCGGTAGTATATTGGTGAACGATAAACAGTTCCCTGTGGTAAATGGGCTACCACGTTTTCTTCCCACGCGATGTTTCTTACCCAACACGGCGCGATCAATAACGTGACTCTACTGAGGTAGAGTGTATCGATTGCCGGAGTAACAATTATTGCTAGCCAATACTTTCGTACGTGGTGCACAGTCGAAATTAGCACACAGGGGCTTCTGCGAGTACATATACCTTGGAATCTGAATTTGAATGTGGATCTTTTATGGAGATGAATAGATTAACCAGCGAGAGATGGAATCAATATATCAGAATATCTTACTATCTTTATTATATATAATACACTTTATTATATATAACAGACACATCATATAAAATACGATAATATTAAAACCATTAAGTAATATTTAACATAATTTTATTAAATCCCATTCCTCGCGTATTTTATACATTTTCTAAAAATCTCGTTTCATTCGCAAACTCAGAAATATAAATCCAATATATATCGTTCTAATAAGTAACTGCATTATACCATTGTCAGATGTATTTCGTCGATTGTTAAAAGTTAAATTACAATTTTTGTACTCATCGATAATCGAACAAAATGATAACGTATTGTATAAAGCTTTGATCCCGTCCAATGTAATGATAAGATTCAATAATGAGCTCAGCATCCTTAATGTAAAGTATAAAAATAACAAAAGTAACAATTATTCATTATAATTAAATCCCGCGAATTGCATGAACAACTGCTTATGAATCAAATATAATTGCTGTAAACAAGCGGGATTTGTAAAATAACGAAATAATATAAAACGAAATAATGAAATGCAATAAGTGAAGCTAAAAAGTAATTTGTACCAAACTAAAGATCTTGATGTATGCAGAATATATACAGATTTTTTTATTCTTCGCAGGAGACCAAGAGGCCGTCGAAGGAGATGCAGGTGACAATCGCGAGGCAATTGGGCCTGGAACCGACGACGGTCGGGAACTTCTTCATGAACGCTCGACGCCGCTCCATGGACAAATGGAAGGACGAGGATCCGAAGGCGGTCGCGGTCGAGGAGGAACAGTTGTCGCCCACGATAGGGATCGGCCAGCGCCAACCGAGCGACGTTTTGTGACACACGTCCGACCACGAGGAGTACCACGACGAGTCACCCGACGAGGAGCTGCCCTTCTCGTAAGGGCGGCGTATTACCTCGTGGACGTATCCCTGCTGACACGCTCGAGCCTTATAAACGACCTCTCTGCGCGACACGCCTTGCAAATTTTATACTGGTCTTCATAAGTCATGTCTATCTCTCTAATATCTCGGAGATATTGCTGATTAGTTGGCTATTTAAAATTAACCCAACAAAAAGGCACTCCAGAATTATCTCATTTATTCGATGAATAAATAAACGAGAGACTTTATTAAGCTTTTTGATATTTGACTGTTGATAGACAATCAATTTGAAGCAAAATAAAATTTAAACTTGGAGAAAATTTTAAATATTTAGATGTCCTTCAAAAATACTTGAGAAAATATAATTTTCGGCCATTGATAAATATCTACTTGAAGTAAAGCGAAATTTAAACTCGGAGAATTTTTAATATTTGCTCACACAAGATTTCCAAAGGATGTCCTAAAGATGTTCAGAGAATGTTCTGAAAACGTTTCTAGAACGACCTTTAAATAAAGTATGCTGTGTGAATATACATCCCTCGTAAATACCTGAAAGATAATTTTGGCCATTGATAAACAACCAACTTGGAGCAAAGCCAAATATAAACTCGAAAAATTTTAAATATTTACCCATTACAGCACAGATCTCTGAAGGACATCTTAAAGACGTTCTGAGAGAATGTTCTCAGAACGTTTCCAGAACATCTCTCGAATAAAAAAGTGTGCTTAAAGACGTTCAGAGAATGTTCTCGGAATATTCTCAAAATGTTTCTCGAATAAAATACACTGTGTGTTTTAGCCATTGATAAATAATCCATTTGGAACAACGCAAAATTTAAACAATCGAAGTATTTTAAATATTTATCTATACAGCAGAGATCTTTGAAGGATATCTTAAAGATGTTTTGAGAATGTTCTCAGAACGTTTCCAGAACATCTCTCGAATAAAGTGTGCTGTGTGAGTAGACGTCCTTTGCAAACATCAGAGATTAATTTACGTGCAGAAATTAGAAAAATCGAAATACAATATCATCATTTTACGTAAATGCTGAGCGTGTCGATGATTGTCTTTTAAGATCGAGCTGTGTCAAAGCAGGAGCGTCCTAACCGCTGAATGCGATCGATCATTACGAATCCCGCAAAGCGATCCGAATCAATTCTACCAAAGTACGATCTTACGTTTCTGTTTTCTTTTTGTTTTTTTTTATTTTTTTTTTTTTTTTTAGGCTAGTGAATTCCCGAGTATTTATGATCGACAGATCGTTTCACGTTAAAGCTCCTAAATCGACGTTTGAAGTCGAGAAACGAGACGAGTCGATGTCCGAATAAACGTAAGCTGGAGGATATCGATTACATGCAATAATTTCTACTTAATTTTTCACACGAGAGTTCTCCGTATTTATATATTTATTATTCTCACACACACACAATTTGTCTCTCACATTAAGCGGGCCGTCTCTTTCGCGACGAGCTCTGTTGGACTTAATTTTAAGACTCCTATTTTAACGACTCGTCGCGTATCTCGACTTCGGTCACTTTGCAAACTTCGTGCCATAGTTTGCCATATTAGCGTAAGTTAATCCGTTAAACTCGGCGCTTCGTGCCCGATTCTTAGCGTTCTAGTCCACTGTAATAAGTTCCAAGAGGGACTGCCTGCCCCCGTCAGACTGGGGACCGAGGTGGTTCCTCACCTCTAGTCAAAATTCAGAAGCTCGAATTCTGAATCCACCTCTCGGCGCCGGAAGTGCGAGGGTGGTCGAAAGCGCTCGTGTTTTTCTTTATTTTCTTCTTCCTTTCGCGCAGGTCGCGCGCGGCTCAAGTCAAGTTTATTCGCCGCCCCCGAAACGGGGCGTTTAGTCTAGCCTGTTACCTTGTTTTCTTGTTCTTTTTAAGAGTAGAATCGGTCGCTGCTTTAAGTGGGATATCGCGAGGGCGAATGTCGAGTAGAACTGCATAAAAGGGCGCTCTGACAATCGGAGGCGAGTAAATACTTAGAAAAGCTCGTTTTCCACTTCTTCTTAATCCTCGAGACTATGCCCTGCCCCTTACTTTACCGCACGGTAAAGCGCGAAAGTTCGAAGGGTCTCCGAATGCCCGATCGAGATACGTCACGAGCTAAAGCAGCGACTTGGTGGCACCAGCGATTGAATCCTACTGCGTGCGTTAACGCTTTTGTTTGAGATTAAGTGCATTTTATTTCGTTCACTGGTTCATAAATGACTGGCGATTTCCGATACTACACGAGGTGTACTTAAAGTCGCGCGCTTCCTCTCGCGAATTTCTCGAAACGCACTCGAGCTCGCCTCTTCTTCAATTTCAAGTAGAACACATCAAAATAACATCGAAAAAGCTCCAAAACGTGACTATTAAAAGTCACTTTTCAATCAGTCTACATGACATCAAAATGACGTCGCAATGACTCCAAAATGACCACTAAAAATCACTTTTCAGTAACAATTCATTTTAACGTCATTTTGACATCATCGTAGCTTATTGTTCTGCTTAGTGGTTCGAATCGAAACCTTCAACATCGGACATATTATCGATAATTCAATTTCAAATTGTGAAACCATATTTCTATCTCAGTTTATTAAAGATGGATCGAGCGCAGCGCGATCAAGGGGAAGAACGCGACTTTCTTAGCGCGCACTCCGTACGCATGTATCGCTAAAAACAAAAAAAAAACAAACCAAATCTCCTTGAAGAATCGAACGGCATTTTTTCCATGAGTAACGGTTAGCGGTGAGGTTCGATGATGATCGCGCAATCAGCGGCGCGCTAAATGCGCGACCGGGCTCGTCGTGTCCTCGTTGGTCAGACGAAACGTGAACCAATTTTCAAAGTGGCTTCGTGTGAGGGTACACGTGCCAAGTGATATATATATGTATGTATAAACATGTATATCAGAGAGTGGACACTCTTTTGTGCGAACCGATGGCGGGAGGGAGGTTTAGTGGGGAAAGGAAAGAACAGAGGGATAGATAGATAGAGAGAGAGAGAGAGAGAGAGAGAGAGAGAGAGAGAGAGAGAGAGAGAGCAATTTTTAAAATGGGTGGCTGCACCGCTGTGTACGAGAGACAGAGACAGAAAGAATGAGTGAGAGCCTGTGAGAAAGAGAGAGAGAGAGAGAGAGAGAGAGAGAACAGCGAGAGAAAGAGCGAGAGAGAGAGAGAGAGAGAGAGAGAGAGAGAGAGAGAGAGAGAGACTTTAGCGAGCCGTACTCGATATCGTACTGCAATTGTGCTGTGCTATTGTACATACTTAAAAAAAAAAAAAGAAGAAAAATAACACACACGTACGTATGCAGATAGACATACAGACACGTACATACTTTTATTACGTAAGCGGCGGGGCGGCGTTCGCTAAGCCGGGCGAGAACGAATCGGTGTGACGTTTGATTGCAGAAAAGTGCATTCTAGCCGACTTGCACTTCGCGTCTGTGGCTCCTGCGTAGCGAGAATTCTTTTGTGCTTTAACACATACACATATACACACATAAACACACGTATACGTACATCGTCACGACGACGCGTCGCGAGATGGATCGGTTCTACAAGATTTGGAACGACATTTTATATCATGCTCTTCTACTTTTTTTGTGCGATCGGGGAGAGGATCATTTATGCTAGTCGGATTAATCATACAGAATGAATCGCGAAATGAACACTGAGATTCAATCAGGAATTGACAAAACGATCCAGGAGTATCGAGGAACGAACTGATTACGAAAATAAATTTACTACACGTGCTTTATCGATTCTATAGTGATTACAAGTTTTTTTTACAATTTTTTCGGATGCTTGTAATCCAAGAAAGATCATAGAAAAAACTTGTACATTGAGAAAAAAGAATGGAAGAAATATAGATGAGTGGCTGCCAAAAGTGGCTGCCACTTTACAGTTAATGAATAATTTTATCAGATTGTTTCGATAAACAATTTTTACAAATAAAAATCTAATACGCGAAATATTTAATATATTCTAGTATTTAAAATATCGTGTTCTTAAAACAAGAATTAAGAATTTTATTAATTTATATAAACTGAAAAACAGATTGTCGTAAAAATTACATTTGTCGAAAACTTTTGGCAGCCACTGTATTTTGATTATTTTTCATTCAAACAGAACGAATAAATATATAAAATGCATTTGCAACGACAAATTAATCGACAAATTAATCGTTTTTTAAAAAGCGACGAACTCTCGATACACTGAGATCGGTTTTCTCCGAGAAACACGAAAAATCGCTCGATCGAGTTTATAGGATGTGCAATCATTCGTCTCGCAAATGGAACATCTCCTTCTTGCACGCGAACGCTCGTTCGATGTTCGTTCGACGAAGTTACCTACAACATGTTACTTAATTTATTATATTTTAAGATAGAACGAATGCATTTGGAAATAGCTTTTGAAAGCTACAGCAGTTATGTCATCGAGAGAGAGAGAGAGAGAGAGAGAGAGAGAGAGAGAGAGAGAGAGAGTGTGTGTGTGTGTGTGTGTGTGTGTGTGTAATTTATTGTGTAATATTTTGTAAAGTTATATCGAATCCCCTTAGTGTGCATGGCGACTCGAGGTATGTTACCGCTTTCGTGCAACAGCAGCAACAACAGCAACAACAGCAACAATCTCCTCTCTAAGGAATCCGAGTTACACACCGATACACGTTTCCCCCTTTAACGTTGCACGTTAATTAGCATCTCGACGCTACTCTGATTATTTATTATTAATTTATCACGTACGACGTCTCAAATAAACAGTCATTCAAAGCGAGCATCACAATTCTGAGACTTGTTTGGAGACTTGAGTGCTCCGTGCTTTGGATTTGAAAAACCCAAAAAATCGGCAAATCGGCAGTCGGCTCGACGCGGCAAAGGAAAGGCTCGCATCCGCCTTCGAAAGGAGCCTGTGTTGATTCCTGATCAACACGAAGGGATGCGAGCGTCCCTTCCGACGCGAAGAATTAATCTACGGTACCAAGAGAGACGCGAGCGGCCTCC